TAATTATTCTATTCCAGACCTAATAACTTACTATGGAATAAAATGTATCAATTTTTAAATATTCAAACAATATATGCTGAATTCTTCGACAGACCCAAAGTTGGCATTCCTCCTCGATTTCCATCACAAACTTCACGCAAGATGTTCTTAAGAATACTCAATTTCGGACTCCCTTAGCTCAGTCGGTGGTCTAGGATTGGATAATTCCTCGACTTCCCAGGGCATAGAATATGATTGTACTTGCCACATAATTAAAAATCGTACAGACTTAGAATGTTCTAAATTAACAACTGTGGAAGTGATAAAAGAACACTAAGCTGAAGGTCAGCGTAAAGTTCCAGTACGGAAGTAATAAAGCCAAAGAAGAAGAATATGTTCCAAAGTAGGTATTCCATTAGAATACATTTCAAACTGGTTGTCAAATGAATTTTATGTGCTTTAAATTAGAGCTTGTTGTTTGTTGTGCTTTTATTGTTTTCAGATTTAACCGAGTTGTATCTATAGGGAACTTAGAGCGTTGCATAACTACATCCGGCACTTAACTTATATGAAGTTCGTACTGTCGTCCCAATTGCCAGAATTTCAAATTGAAATGAAAAATAAATCACTGTACCAATTATCCACTGGTACACCCGCACTTGCGACACTCTCCCGCCACCGAATTCGTTATTTTTAATGGTTTTGTGCAATTAATTCATTTATTTATTTTGACCATTGCACTCTCTGTTTCTACTGCGCTTCACTCTTTCATGTTCATAATGGTGAATTATCCATTTTCCGCCTGCATCCGACCGGAAAATGGTCCATACTCTGAGTGAGCTGCGTTGAACACAAATTCCCATTTTCGACCGCGGCATTGAACCGAATCTCACAAAAAAGGTGAAAAGAATATAAATTTATCGATTGTCTGATTTATGCTCAAATTTAAAGCATCTGTTCTCTGTTGGCCAGTGTTGTTTTCAGAAGAGGATGAACTTCTCGGTACGCTGCATCGTCCGATTTCGTTTGTCCTACCGCACATCGCGAATGCATATGTTTGTGGGCAGTGATAATTCACCCCTTCGTTTTTGGTGAGAGGTGCAACGATGCGCACGCGAAACGATTGAGTTTAAATTATTTAAGCGAATCAGTGAAATACATTTGCGTATTTGCGCTTTATTTTTGAAAATTTATGTTCCGCTTATGCTATTGGTAGGCTATCTCTCGCAGTGATACCTCTGGTGGAATGATGATGCTCTCTAGAGATCATCTAGCATAATATTGTGTGAAGTCAGTTCATATTGCAAAAATGCGTGCATGGACGAATGTTGAGAATGGGAAGAATTCCGTTGTATCAATATTAATAATGATGACAATTTATTTTCATCGGATTTGTTTCAATCAAATGGGAAAATATTTGCCCACATTGGGAGGACTAGAATTTATGAATGAATAAGTAATAAGTATGGGAAGGTAGGGATACTTGATGCGGAGGGGAGACTTGATTCCCCCAGTTTATTTCCATGAATGTGTTGAACATGCAAAGTAAATGGGCAGTACATTATCTGATATTGAGTAGCACGCGGTACAGTTACACATGATCAGTAGGAAATGAAAATTAGGGTACGAATCGTTCTCAAAATAGATTTGGTACTTTGGGGGGTGACTTGAAGGATTTCAAGTAATTAGCCAAATATTGCGTGTACACATTAATATAGTCAGTACGGGTTTACTGAGTTTTTGAATTGCGGAACTGTTCGGTAAAAGTTTAAAAATCTGTGGAAAATTTATTAATGAGAAAATTTGTTCTGAACATGTACATACTTAGTTATGTTAACCCCATTTAATGATAGAAAATAAAATTGGTCGATATCATTGACTCCTTACGGATAACGGTCATTTGAAATTTTACCGACATTTTCAGCAATTCAAAAACCCAGTAAAAAAATACTGACTCCTGTAAAAAAATCTTAGTGTGTACCATTAATTATGTCAAGCAAATTTGGTCCATTTTCAACCCCCTCCACTCTTTGTCACATTTTTTGAATGAACCTTATTTTTTTTTGTATGACTCGTCACAGTTTCCAAAAAACCCCTCCCCAAAAAGTGTGACATAATTAATGGACGATCCGTTATAAGTACTCGTAGTATAAACAGCGTGTCTCTAGCTAAGTATTATGAAATCATAATCAATCAAATTGTTTTAATTGAAAGCAGGATTAGCATTCCGTTTGATTCAATTATGCTCTAGGTTTTTATGGATAAACCGTTAATATATACAAAATGAGATCAACTGGAGTAATACAATTACACTATACACTGGAGTCGCTTTTTATGCGGTTTTTTTACGCGGATTTTGGAATTTACACGGTTTTTTACGCGGATTTCGGAATTTCCGCGGTTTTTTACGCGAATTTCGGATTTTTTTTACGCGGCTCTCAGAATTTACGCGGTTTATCGTTATACACTGGAGTCGCTTTTCACGCTGTTTTTTTACACGGTTTTTTACGCGGTTTGTTTTACGTGTATTCTGGAATTTACGCGGTTTTTTTTTTCTACGCGGCACGTATCACCCGCGTAAAAAGTGACTCCAGTGTACATAATAGCAAATTATGATATAAATTTCATCACCAGTTTTACTCGGGTTGCTACACAATGTATGTAAAGGATACCATTCATTGTTGTAGGGCACAGCCATTGGACAGTGGGCTGTCCACCTCGTATGACTTGATCAAGTACGATACCTGGTTATATTCAATTTACCATTGTATGAAGGGCCAAAAACGGATGGTGAACCCGTAAGCAGAGACACTTACGCATGAAGAATCTCCTTCCAAATGATAAAAATATTCCAACCCGATAGAGAACAAGCCATCATACCAGGGGATGTGCCAATCAGTGGGGAGAAGAGTCCACCTTCAATTCACGAAATGTTAACAACAGGGAGTTGGCTATACCACTCTCCCCATCCAAATTGCTTCAACCAGGCGATAGTCCCATCTCTACCCAATGAGTTTATATGTTTATTTGAAAATATGTAAAATATGATAATATAATACTACCCATGATTTTCTGCTCAGTAAGCAAAAACAATGCCTTCAGGTTAATCGAGCATCTCAAAACCACAACACTCCATGACAAAATATGATTAAGGCTGTGAACCAGTAGCCGAGTTAAATTTAACTCGTGGTTAAAAGTGACATTTCGAAAGTTATTTTCTATGTTCGAAAATCCCCGTGCTGCCGATCGACCGATTTTCGACCCACGGTTGTTAAAAGTTAACTTCTTGTCTGTCAGAAATAACCATGCTCGGATAGCAGGGTTCATCGATAACTTTCCATCTGTCAAATTTTAACCAAAAGTTAAAAAAAAATCGCCAAATGGTTCAGAGCCTAAGTTTCTGCGTGGTATGTAATGAACAACCAGCGACTACCATGACGACAACAGTGAACTTGGAACTTACCATTCGTTTAGGACAGTGGTTCCCAACTTCTCCAGATCCGCGACCCCCTTTACGAAAAATTGAGAGTCCCGTGGCCCCCTTGAATGTACGATGGATAAATTGTGCTGAGATGAGAAAAAAACATTAATTTTGTTTGCTATCTAATGGATTTATTTCATCTTATGTTAAAAACAGGTAAAAACTTATTCAGTGTGATTGTTGCGCTTGGATTTGAGATACTAGTTTAGGAATACGGGGCTGCGTTTGAGACAACGCCAATCTCATATCGTCCTCAACGTTCCTCGACTTTGTCTTGATCTGGAGGAGAGTTGAAAATCCGCTCTCACAGAGGTATGTAGATGCAAATGGGATCAGGACCTTTAATGCCTTCAAGGAGACTTTGGGGTACGGCTCGTACATGGCACACCAGAACTGGTTCAAATCCTTTTCATGGAACAAATCACGAGAAGAGGAATCATTTCTCAGATCTAAGTATTCGTCCTGTATCTCACCAGGAAGACTAGCCACATCCAATGAAGAAGAAAACGGGTTGCGGACTAAAGCAGCGTCTTCTTTTGTCACCTCGGGGAAATACTTCTCAAATTGCTTATCCATGGGCAATTATTTCTAATTTAAGATCCGAATTCAGCTCGTCCGCTCCTTTGTCAGTCATACTGCACAGTTTCAGTTTATCGAACATGGCAACATTTCCAATATTAACCTTTCGGCGCCAGTTTTTGATTTTTGCCATGAATGCTTGAAGATGGTCTTGGAAGTGAACAAGATTGATTTTTTTGCCCAGTAGCTTCAAGTTCAGCGAATTTAGATGCTCGATAAACGAGGCGCTTCTGCCAGCTTTCCTCATTAAAATTAGCAAGGAAATCGTTTTTCCCTTGAGCTTTCAAGAACATTTGGATTTCGTCCTTCAATTCGAAAACACGGTTGAGTAGATTGCCTTTTGACAACCAGCGCACGGAAGTGTAGAAAAGAAGAACCTCATGATCTGAGTTCATTTCTTTGCAGAGTTTTTTGAATAAACGTGTATTCAGAGCTCCAGATTTAATATTGTTAACAATTTTTATGACTGAATCCAGTAGGTACTTTCAACAATGGTTCCGGCAGAGTCTTGCTGGCAAGGGCATATCGATGAATCATGCAATGAACAGTAGTGGCGTGTGGAGCAAGCTCTTTAACTTTTTTCTGAAACCCTGATTTGCTACCAAGCATTGCTGGAGCGCCATCGGTACAAACTCCACCGACTTTTTCCCACTGTAAGCCACCCGATTCAAAAAATGTTTTGATTTTGGCCATGATATCATCACTTTTGGTAGTAGTTTCCAGATCACTACAGAAAAGAAACTCTTCCTTTAAATCGCCAGAGTAAACGTACTTCACAAATATCAACAGTTGCGCACAGGAGTTGACATCCGTAGATTCGTCGAGTTGGATTCCAAATAGAGGGGATTGCTTGATTTCTTCCAAAATTTGCACTTTAACATCTTCGGACGTATGGGTAATTCGTCTTTGCACGGTGTTGTTTGACAACGAAATTTGCCGCATTTTACTCTCACTTGCTTCCTCAAGAACCAAATTCACCATTTTCAGCATGCTGGGTTTGATGAGAGTTTCTCCGATGTGGTTTTTTGTTTTTCACGATTTCCAATGCTGCGTCATATGACGCCTGCACTACTGCGGTGTTCTGTTGTTGGATGCTGCCTGTAGCATCGAATATTTGCCGTTTAAGGCCTGCCACATCCTTTGTGCTATGCTCAGAATGTTTCGTGTCCAAATGCCGTTTCAATTTTGACGGCTTCATAGCTTCAACACTCAACACAACACAGCACAATACACATTGTGGCTTATCGACGTCATTAACGGTTAAAGCCGTTAATCCGTATTGTATATATTCATCGGAATACTTTCGTTTCTTGTCCATGTTTGCGGTGGTCTGCAATTAACAATTTAATCTTACTTCTTTTATGTTACCATTTTCTATTTCGACTTTACCGATTCAAATTGATATTATTTGCAGGGATACTCACTCGTGGGAATCCTCTGAGAAAAACAAGATCCGAGCAGCAACAATTTTTGATCTGAGAATCACAAATCGTGCAACCGATTGATATGGAACTTGACCCGTGAATGGTACACTTCGTTATAAAGAGGCAACAAAGCAAAGCAAGAGATTTTCATTGAGCATTGTGTCCATTGCTGCTTTTTGACACTTAATCGGCGCACACTAATGCACCACCTCAATTTTTATAAAAAAAGCGTATGTAAGAAGGAAACAGAAAAGATGGAAAATAATGAATCCATTCATAGACTTCTCTGCAACGGGAATTATTAGTGAGCAGTTTCACTAATACATGCGTTCTACTGGTTGAAAATTAAAAAAAAAAAACTACCAGGGACAGCCCTATGGGGTTGTACGCAATGGTGACGTAGGACTACGTGGTCTTATATAATAAATCTTATTTGTTAACTGCAGCAGGAGCTTGTGTTTTGTGTAGGAATAGAAATTTGAGCGGTTCTCTCTGTTTATACTCTTTTGCACAGCAAAAAAAAATGTAATATCGATCAATGTAATTCAAGCTGATGTATGAAATAATGATGTAATAGCAAAAAGCAGATAGAATATTACATCAATGGATGTTATTTTGTTCGCAAAATCGATGTACATCGTACAACGTTATATTACACAACCGATGGATTGACCTGGTTGCAGCAGTTTGGATGTAATATTCAACAACTTTTTTTTCTGTGTGTATGACGCGCTTGACATAGATGGCCCACAGCTACGCACAAAGAGCTACTGATTCCGATCAATAGCTGTGTGGCTTCTTCCTCCTTCTATGGATGCTCATGATGGCTGCAGCTCGCTGCTTGCATCAGCCTTTCATTATGTACTGGAGAAAACCACCACTCACCACGCGGTGATTGAATAAAAACCGTTTGGTGAGCCCGGATAGAATTCAACTTTGAAATCTGTGTTATGAAAATCGCTTTTCGCAGGAAATCGGTGATAATTTTTATTTTCATAGCAACAATTGCACATTCGTGCAATTTTCAACAGTGACATTTTGAAAAATGATAAAGTATTTAACTTATCAGATGCGTAGAAATATTTCTGATCGATTGGTGATAGATTTATTGAAATTGGTCCAGCTGAGTTATTAACGTTCAAAATCTTTCATAATTTTGTAACATGTTCCATTTTCGGTTTTCACAAAGTGTACCCCCATATAGAAATCACAGACGTAGTCCTACGTCAAAACAAACCGCTGTCAAGTCGAAAGACAGTTGATTTCGTGGTTGAAAATAATAAACAAATCGTTTTACACTGTTAGACAAGCACGGTTGTGTTTGTGAGATCTTGTCGTAAGAAGTACACTCAAAAATATTACAAAACCAGTATTGATTAAATTTTATGCATTTTATTATTAATCAAAGAGTGTTTAGAGTGACTATAGTAAAAAAAAAATTAATCAAAATTGGTCCGATTAATATTTTCTTCAAAACTATACTAAGTCTGATTATTGGAGTGGAATTCGATCAGTGTATACTAAAATGATCAAAAATGACAATATGAAACACGATGGCACTCGTAGTCGTTTTTCAGTTCACGTTGAAGGTGGTAACGTTCTCGAATGGTTCTGCAAACATCGTCCGCTCATTGATGGAAAGAAGCATATAAGCCTGCCGGAAATGGAATCGAAGCCTGCCATAAATGGCAACCTTGTATCAATTAACCAATAAACTGCTGACGGATTTGATGCACAGTAATTTCTTCTATCTGTTCGACTTAACGGCCGAAGCGTTGAAGATGTGGACCCAAGCTTTAGCCACTTATCAAAGATCAAAATGTCGGGTAATGAGATAAACCTGGGTTGATAATGATAATTTTATGGTTCTGCTTTTGCTTTAATTACAACTTTAATTTTTATTTGAAAACAATAATACTAAGCATTAAACGAAAAAGAAGCAGAAAATATATTCCCTCGAATAAACCGTATGTATGCATTGAAAGCATATTTCGATTTTATACTATTGCAGGTATAAATCTCTTTTATACTAAGTCTGTATTCTCTCCCTTTATACCGACCTTTGCGTCGGCACGGAGAGTTGCGATTTAGCGTAACTTTTATACTATTTAGGCTGTGAACCATTTGCCGAGTTAAATTTAACTCGTAGTTAAAAGTGACATTTCGAAAGTTATTTCTTATGTTCGAAAATCCCCGTGCTGTCGATCGACCGGTTTTCGAGCCACGGTCGTCAAAATTTAACTTCTTGTCTGTCAGAAATAACCACGCTCGGATAGCAGGGTTAATCGATAACTTTCCATCTGTCAAATTTTAACCAAAAGTTAAAATAATCCACCAAATGGTTCAGAGCCTTAGCTTTCAATATTTTTTGAGTGTATATTCCCATGTACTAACCAGAGAAAGATGATTAAGCGGAAAAATGGTATATAAACATGTTTGTTGGTGGTAGTGCTTTTCTCGCGACAGAGAGTTTGCTGAGACCAACGTCAAATACTGCTCGAGTGAATGACGGAATGTGACGTTATCCATTCGAACAGTGGACGACGAATCTTTTACACCTCTATCCATCCCATTGTGCTGGGACGCATGACACAGCAAACTGTTGGACTCTTTTTCCTTCTTTTTGAGAGTTGTGACCGGAGAGCAAGTGCTTCAAGCACGGAAACAAAAAAGTAGCCATTTGTAATTGAAATTCACGCGCTTTCAACTTAACTTTAGTTAATTGTACTGTTTTTTACCATTTCAGAAAGGTTATTTCAAATAGGTATGTCACTGAAATAATGGAAAATGAAACAATAAAAATATTTGATATAGAATTTAAAGCAAAAAAATCAATACCTTCGCGTCCCCCCTGGGCAGGCTTCGTGACCCCCCAGTCGGCCGCTGACCACCGGTTGGGAAACGCTGGTCTAGGATATAATATCTTTGCTTGGCACCTCCACTGGATCTTCATGTCCACCATCTGTCACTGTCTGCAAAAATATCTAATAGAAACTATCTGTGTTGTGATCAGGCATGGAAAATCATTTACATTCATTTCGTGCATTCATTTACATTCATTTGCCCCTAACTTTTTTCATCAACAGAATTATGTTTTGTTAGTAGCTACAACTTTTGTTAACAACTCAAATCCGTATCTCTTCTGCATGACGAACCAGAGCGAAAAGAAGCCACTACTGTTTTTCAGTGAATGTATTTTATATTCACTGAAAAACAGTAACAAGATCTGCCCGCTCTAATTCGTGATGCATAAGAGATACAGATTTGAGTTATTGGCAAAAGTTGTAGCTAATAATAAAACCTACTAAACCTCTATAAATCATTATGCGGAATGCTGTTGATGAAAAAAGTTAGAGGCAAATGAATGTAAATGAATGCAGGAAATGAATGTTAATGATTTTTCATGCCTGGTTGTGATACTTCCTTCAACGAAAACAAGTTTTCATGAATTTCCATGGTCATCTGGTCTTGTACTTTCTTGTCCACCGGGCACTCGGAATGAGTGGTCCGTACATCATTGATTAAAAAGAGTTTACTTTACTTTCCCGTGCTTTTCTTACGGGGAAAGTAAAGTAAACGCTTTTCTTCATACGACCTAATGTATTATTAGTATGAGATGGTGTTATGTGCAAAGTGCGAAAAGAGAATGAAGGAAATACGAAAGGGATTAGTTTCAAGAAGTGACAGTTTCAAGAAGTGACAGTTTCATCGGATTCCTTAACTAATCAATCTCAAGCATACTAAGTATATCCAAGCTATATTGCGACTTTATAGTTACTTGGGTGCTTATTTGCCGGTCAGAATGGTTCATCGGTTGCGATGTGAAGTATTTCTGAAAGTGATGCGTTATATTTATCAATGTTTTAATTTTATCCTAACGTTACCTCAGTCTTACAACATAGACAAACAGACACAACACATTGAAAATTTATCATTGTAAACACTACCACCATCTGCTGTATACACTCAACAGATGACTGAAGTGTGTAATCGTCAAACCCAAGAGAATTGATTATGCGCGCCACAAGTGACGGTACTATCAACTAACAAATATTTAAATGTACCGTTAAAAGCGATTTCAATGAACTTTTTGAGAGTGATACGTCTGCTTGTCTGTTATAATATCTTCACTATTGCAACTTCGGGTAATCCGCGAAAGTACTTGCATTTTTATCAGGCACTTTTGATCTAACTGCAATCACTCTCATACTCGAAATGTGCCACGACCAAATTGACAAATCCAAGTTTATGCCGGCCACCGCGGCGCTGTAATCTTAGCGACGATGAACTTGAGATCATCTGTCAAACTGCATATATTTTCCAGTTTGTGATAAGAAAACTATGTTTACGTGTTATTGTAATTGCTTTATTCAATAACAGAAAGTAAATATGAACAGAAAAGTAGGGCCGGTAAGAATGGTAAGTAAATCCTAATTTTTAAATGCAAATGAAAAATATGTTTCTCCCAGCAAAACATCAACAAATAATGTTAACAATATTTTTACAGGATTCAAACTGAGAATGCAATCCTGCTGATTCATCCCATCGGAGATTGAATTAAATCAATTACTTTTGCTGTTTAAGGTGAGATGTTAGAACAATTTTACATATTGAAGCAATCAACACAATATATTGTTCCATCCGCAGGAACATCATCTTTCCTATAGCTGAACCTGAATCTTTCCTATAGCTGAAGGAAAATAGCCGAACGGAAACCCTTTCTTCTCTGGCATAAATAGAATCTCTCTGGTAAGTAGAATAAGATATTTAAGTGCTAAATTATTGAAATAGCATTGAAATAAAAAACAATCGTAGAACAAACATGCCATAAAAAAATACCATAAACGAACGATAACCCAAATCATTGAACGATTACACAAATGGTTTGGATGAT